AAAGCTGCTCAAGTGATAGAGTCCCTGCCTAGCAAGTATGAAACCCTGAGTTCAAACCCCAGTACCGCCAAATACGAATAAATAAATCATTAGTCCATTGAAGTACCTCCATGTAATTCGTAATTCTAAAACTGAAAGTGGAGCCATCTGAACTACTCAGCAACTAAATGTCCTATTTGTAGCTTTTCTGTTTAAGGCCACTTTACTTTCAGACATCAGCAATGAGTTTTCATGCACATACACAGAAAAACACAGGCCACACTGCTGTCTCTACTGTCGGATTTAGCAAATAACTGGTAATCAACGTTTCTGAACTGAAGACAATTTTATTATACATACACTTACAAAAACTAAATAGCAAAACAAATTTTGGGTTTTTTTCCCGTTTTTATACTATTTCATATACATATATGTGCAACATACTTGGATCCTCTTCATCTCAAAACAAACTTTTAAAGTGGAATTAAAAGACTTCAGGATAATAAATTGTTAATGTCTATCTTCCTGGAAATACCAAGTTCCTATTAGAAAAGGGTCTTTAAGTTCATTATTATACCTCTCAGTCTCCTAGTGGTACATACTAAACACTGGATAAATGTATTGAATCCATTGATGAAAGAAATTCCATTTAAGAAACGAAAGTAAAGTCATAGTCTTAAAGAATTGGAAAGGAAGGAGTCATTAAACCCCACCTCCTACCAAACAGAATTTCCTCCTTTCCATGTTTTGCTCACTTCTAGGGACAAGGAACTCATTAAACTATGAGACCGCCCATTCCAATTGTGGGACAGTTCCAAACTCCTTTCCTCTGTTCTGCCCCCTCCCCAACTCCCTGAATAAGGCAGTGGTCTCCAAAGTGGTGTATTTATCCAAGAGTATAACAGATGATTCGTAGAGCTGTGAGAAGAAGATTAGACATTCTATATTAAATTTTTCAAGTTTGGGATTAAAACATTGACTGATATTTAATGTACAATGGGCACTGGCACCCTCATTCAGGCCATACATCAGACCAGTAGAGAAACGACCAGCAGTTCCCAACAGTAAAGAGTTAAGAGCAGTGCCCTCAGTTAAATGTTCTGTTTCAGAAAACTGAAACTTACCTCAGCATACATTCTAAATAATACAAAAAAGACCTCTGTACAGCAGAATCTTTGTAAAGAGGCAGTAAATGATAATAACTTTGTTTTCCTGGTTTTCTTATTGCCAAGTATTTACAACTTGAGTTTAAAGATAAGCAGTTTCCTTTTACCCACAGTAGTTCTAAATAAGTCAACCATTTACATGATGATAAATGGCTAGTAGTATAGGCTACCACATATTTAAAAAAAAAAACACACCTAATCTGTCTTTTCAAAGTAAGGATAAAACTTTAATAATAAGAAAATAACTGCTTTTCAAAGGATACTAGTGCTATGGTGAGAACATTTTTTAAAACTATATTTGGAAATGTTTCCATTGTTCCAAGATCTTGGTTGCTGAAAACAATGTCTATTAAAAACATAGCCAGGTGAAGTAGTACACAACTTTAATCCCAGCACCTGGGAGGCAGGAGGATCACCAATTCCAGGCCAGCCTGAGCTTAAGAAGTCTACTTTTAAAGTTATTATCTACATAGGATATGAATGCTTTGAAAACGTGGAAAGACTAGGCCAATCAATCAAAAAACTTCTCAATGAAAAGTCTGACAACTAGGTTTTAAGCTTAATTTTTATAAACTGAATATATAAAAACACAACACCTTCCAGTTAATTATCACAAGTCAGCGACAGAGGCCAGGCACTGCAGCTGAAGCTGATAATCCAGGCCGCTCAGAAAGCAGAGAGGAACTGAAGCTCAAGGCCAGCCCAGGCAAAAGCTCCCTGGACTCCATCTCAGCCAATGATGAGCCGCCCCCACCCCTCAACTACAGCGGAAACATACATAGGGGCTCGGGGTCCAGGCCCACCCAGACATAAAGTGACACCTATCTCAAAAATAACCAACACAAAACCAGCTGCTGGAGTGGCTCAAGTGATAACACACCCATGAGGCCCTGAGTTCAACCTCTAGTACCAAAAAAAAGAAAGAAAAAGACTGAGATGAGAGAAAATAGGAATGTCATTACCAATGTCAACAAATTCCTCTACATAACTGATAGTTACAAAATGAAATGTTAGTAGTAATGTAATCAATTATACAATGCTTCCATTAGGATTTTTTTTTTTTTTTTTGCGGTACTGGCTTGAACTCAGGGCCTTCACCTTGAGCCATTCCACCAGCCCTATTTTTGTGATGCATTTTTGAGATAGGGTCTCACAGAACTATTTACCCTAGCTGACTTCAAACCATGATCCTCCTGATCTCTGCCTCCTGAGTAGCTAGGATTACAGGCATGAGCCACCAGTGCCCAGCCTCCATTAGGATTTCGGTAGGTCTCTTTTTTTCCAGTCCTGATAGTCATTAAAATCAGGGGTCAAAAGTAACTGAATTTGGAACCAGAACTATGAATGATCATTTCTAAAAATCACATTAATATTTATCTTAGTCATCAGCACAGCACACTAAGATGAGTAAGTTGGCAACAGTGGATGTTTATTGGAAGCTTTGACATCATTTAGTTAATATAACTCTTACCTACAAGGAGAATAAACAATACTAAGATTAAGTCTAATCATAAATTATTTTGCCAATGATCCTGAAGTCAAACTGTAACAGTCAAGTATCACCACTTCTGATTTCCCATGAGGATTAAATAACACAAAAAAAGAACCTTAGAACAATGTATGAGATAAACACTCAATAAACATTGTCTTCTTGATCTTAAACTAAGTGATATAATGAAGACAGCATGAGCCTAGGAATTAGGCAGATTTGAATCCTCACCATAACACTTGCTAGCTGTGTGACTTGGAGCAAATTAACTCCACTTGTAAAATAGAAACAATTATGCCCACCTCTTAGGGTTTATGCAAAGCCATTAAAGAAGAGAGCACAAAAAGTCGTTACCCCTATAAGACACATTTAATAAACATCTAACCCTCCTTTCAAGGTAGTCTATTCAAAACTATACCAAAAGCATAGAATCAAGGTTGTTGGATTCAAAAATATCCATCAGACTCCCTATCTTCCGGTAAGAATTACACCTACCCAATAACCTGACAGTACCTGTCTGGCATGGAGCATATAGGTCATTGATGTTCACTGAACTCAGGGGAACTACTATGTGGACTATCACGTGGCTAAATGCAGTAGCCTGGACTACCCTGGTGTAGGACTCGGTCTTTCTGATGCTCAAATTAGGGTTCTTTAAACTCTTGGGTACTCTATTTTAAGTCACCTACTTACTGATACAATTATACCTTCACTCATCCTCCTTTAGCACAAATTAACACGACTAGAGCATAATATAGTGTACCATAATTTATGAGTGGAGGAGGGAAGTCACTCCAATCTTGTTGAAGTACTTTAAAGTAAAATTTTACTTAGTAAAACACTTGGCATTCAACCTACAGGTACAGATATAACTGTATTATGTGGAGAGTTAAACATACATGAAGCACCTGTAAGAGCCAATGAGCCAGCTCACAGCCCCGGATGACAAGGAGAAAACAGACTTTCAAACTCCATAAAATTGCAGCTTCAGCGCTTTTACAACACCTGCTTTTACATCTGTCACGTGAAGCCGAGAGGCAAAACTAAACAGCCCTAATAGGGCCACACAATCTTCCGCAGGCTGGGAACACAAACTGGCCTTGTAAACATATAATCAAGCGAAGCAGGCAAACCGGCAGAGGTAGGCCTTCACCTAACTTTCTTCCTCATGCCAAATGCCATACCGAGACAAACCAGGCACCCGCGAGCGCAAGTAGCCAAACCAAAATAAATAACCGCGGGATTTTGACATCCCGACACCCCTTTTACTCTTTAGTCCTTCCAGAATGCCATCCAATGAAACAGCGTTTGTTTGCCGCGGTCCCTCACATCCCAAGGGGCAGGACTGGTCACCCCCTTTCTTGGGTCCTTTTCAACCTGCTCCCCAGTCCCCGAAGCCCTGACTCAGTTAGTTATTCCCATGGTGTCTGCTCCATTAAGTTTCTGGAACATGTGATTTGGGGGAGCAAACTTGCTAGAAAACACATTAAACAACACTTTAACACTTTCCCTGAGGCTTGCCATACTCGGGTCCAAAAATTCCCACGGAGGGAATGAATGTCACCAGTCTTGGATGCCACTCGTTCAAATCGCCCTAAGGAGGGAGTTCCGCCCTGCTGGCCGCCGGCAGCTCTTACCCATTTGTCCAAGGGGACCTGGGCGAGGGACCCGGTGCCCTGATACAGATCTAAGCTGAGCTGCTCCAGGCTCAGCTTCTCCTGCAGAAAATGGCCTAGGTACCTCTGCAGGAGGTACCGACAGGCCCTCTTCTTGATAGACTCTGAAAATGGCCAAGGCATGCTGACGGCTGGTCGCTGGGCGAGCTGGGGCTGCAGGTGACGGGTGGCGGCAGCAGTGGCTCCAGCTTCGGGCCGAGGTTCCGACTCCAGGCCGCGACTGCGCCTCGGGGTCCCGGCCGGCGTCCCCAGGCCGCGGCTGGGTCTAAGCCCGGGGTTGCCCCTGCATACCGGCTCGGCGCTGCAGGCTCTCAGGGATACTCCATAGCCCGCGCCGCGCCACTCGAACTAGGCCCCAGCGGGGATGAAGCGCTGAGAAATGCCTGTCGCCTCAAGCCCGGGGGGCTTCCGGGAGGTGGCTGTCTTGCTCGCTCAGAAAGAGAGAGCGAGAAGATCCTAGGGCAGGCGGCAGGGGCTGAGGCAGACACCTCCACCGCCGCCGCCGCGCGACAAATTTGTTGTCATCTACGAGGCGCGCTCCCGACCCTAGAGCACTCCTGGCGCGTTCGCGAGACCCACACTCCCGCGCGCGTCCGGCGCAAGCGGAAATGACGCCACACTGGGGACCCGGGAGGCGGGGAAAAGAGCGCGGGACGAGTAGTTCCGGCGGCGAGGGGGCGGAGTGGGGGCGGGGGAGGGGGCGGTGCCGCGGGTCCGCTCCGGACGCCTCCGGAGGAGGAAGAGCAGGACGCCGGGCTCGCGCAGGTGAGCCGCCGCGGGGTGGGCTGCGGCCAGGCTGGTGGCTGGCGGGCAAGCAGGTGGCCGGCTAGCAGATGGGCAGGCCGCGGGGCTGTGGGGATGCGGGTACCGAGCCGTGGCAGGGCAGTGAGGAGAGACCGGCAGACGCGGCCCGGTGTCCTGGCGGAGCGGGGTCTGGGGGCGGGTCCGGCCTGGGTTGTGCCAGTCCCTCACACCCCAACGTGCTGGGAACTGTTGCTCAGGGCGCCGCCGACTCCACGGCGAGGACTGGAGCCCCTCTCCGGCATCCCCGCCCTCGGCCGGCATTTTGTTCGGTGCCCATTGTCAGCAAGTTGTGGGTTCCCCGCCTCATGCCGGCATTGTATCCAAAGCATAGTATTCGTTACTCTTCGTCACTCTTCGTCTAGTGCTTTGCACTCGCAGAGCGCCTCTTCGTGTACGCTTAGTTCGTCCTGGGTGTGCTACACCAGCGACCAGGAAACTTGGGGTTTCGAGACATTTGTGGACAAAACTGCCTTCTTTGATAAATGCCAAAGCAGCCCGACCGGAACCTCGGTGAACTATTGTTGCTGGGGATCTGCGCAATTGTATTCTTGCCTTTTAGGAGGCAAAGAGGTTAGGCAACCTGAGTGGGGGTGTCCCGGAAGCCAGCTGTCCCAGGTTCGAATGCCCACACTTGACCCTGAGCCACCTTGAACCTGCCACTGCCCTCTCTGAGCCTGTGCTACCTCCTCTACCGAGTGTGAGCGCATTAATAGCTTTTGTCCTACTGTTGCTGGGAAGATTAATGTGAGTACGACACGAACCTAAACAGAGTCGTGGAACGCACAGCTGTTTAAAGATGGTGACTTAATATGACCAGTTTAAGAAGTAAAATATTAACTGTCTTGATGACTGTTGACATACCCGGAAATGTTGGCAGATAAATTTTTCCTTTCTGCAGCCACCTACCCATTAGAGGATCAGTGTGCTCTGCAGTATGTTCAGTTGCTTGGAAAATGATGACCCTTCATTCTTCATAGATTTATCCAAAGTGTTCCCAGGGATTTCGATTCCCTATACAAATATTCAGACATTTTATTTATTTATTAAATGAAAATCACTGCAGTTGGTAATGTGGAAAGTGTAAAAAGCACTTAGACAGAGATTGGGGGTATATCTCAGTGGTAGTGCTGTGTGCTTAGCATGCAGGTGGTCAGAGGTTCAGATGCCAGCACCCCCTTGCCCCCAAAAACAGTCTGAACCTTCAAGGAGCTTATGTTCTAAAGTAGAAGTACCATTCATTTAGTAAATGTTTATTGATTATCTGCCATATGTCAGGGACTGTTGTAGGTACTGGGGATCCAAAAGAAAACAGATTGAGTCCCTGCCTTCATGAAGTTTCCATTTTTACTGAAGTTTATTGGAATTTCCTTTTTATTGAAGGAGACAGTAATTAAATAATGTGCCTTGTCCTGTTAAATTGCTATAACATAAAGCAATATAAAGGAAATTGAGGTAGGAGAGAGGGGAGAGATTTCCTTTTTTTCACGTTGGGTGGTATGAGAAGGCTTCTCATTTAAAAAGATGGTATTTTAGCAGAGACTTGGAGAAAGCAATGAAGCAAGGCACATGAGTACCTGGAAGGGTTGTTTTCCAGGCAGAAGGAACAGCAAGTGCAAGACTCTGTCACAGGAAGTGCTTGGTGGATTACAGGAACATCAGGAGGGAGGGAAGGAAAGAGTACAAGCTAAGGGTAGAGAACAGGTCAGACAGTGCTTGTAGGTCCATATGGCTTTTGCTCTAAGTGAAGTGGATCTGAAGAGAGATGCTACATAATCTGGCCTAAGTTTTATATTGCACTAATTAGTGTGTTGAAAATAGCCTGGTGTAGGGATAGGAGGGCCAAAGGTGAACACAGCACAACCCATTAAAAGGATATTGCAAAAATCCATGCTACAGTCAGATAGTGATTGGCACCAGAGTGGTAGCAGTGAAGATGGTTGAGTAGTTTGGTTCTAGATATATTTTGAAGATAAATAAGACAGGTTTATAAGTAATAATTACAATACTTGCCATAAAAAGAGTATAAACAAAGTAGTGTGAAAAGTCAAAGCCTTGGGAGGTTTGAACAGGCCTTTTTTGACTAGTGGGAGGCTTGGACTTCTTTCAGTGACTATTAAATAAGTGGCCTCCCTCTCCCCCCACCCCCTCCCTCTCCCCCTCACCCCCTCACTACCAGGCAGAAACTATTTTGCCCTTATCTCTAATTTTGTTGTAGAGAGAGTATAAGTCATAATAGGAAGGAACAAGGGTTTTTGCTAGTTGAGATAAAGATAGCTATACAGGGAGTTGACGTGCATTGCTTTCCTGTGCATGTGTGTTACCTTCTAAGTTAATTCTTCTCGAACTAACCTTTTCTCTAGTTCCTGGTCCCCTTCTCCTGTTGGCCTCTGTCACTTTAAAGTATCTCCATTAGTTTCTCTGCATGGAGAGCCACAAATGCTATCTAGTTTTCTGGGTGTCTTACCTATCCTCATACCTCCCTATGTGCTCTCGATTTATCATGTGATCAAAGTCCAATCCCTTTGTTGTGTTTGCCCTTGATCTAATGTCCGCATATGAGGGAGAACATACAATTTTTGGTCTTTTGGGCCAGGCTAACCTCACTCAGAATGAAGTTCTCCAGTTCTGTCCATTTACTTGCGAATGATAACATTTCATTCTTCTTCATGGCTGCATAAAATTCCATTGCGTATAAATACCACATTTTCTTGATCCATTCGTCAGTAATGGGGCATCTTAGCTGCTTCCATAACTTGGCTATTGTGAATAGCACTGCAATAAACATGGGTGTGCAGGTGCCTCTGGATGTTTTTGTGTTTTATCAAAGACAGAGTTTGTAGCACAAAATGCTAACACCAAGCATTAATTGAAGAAAATGAAAATTATTACCCAACCAAATATTGTCAGCTTTTAAAGAATTATATAAAGGGATTTAAAACAACAGGTTAGAAGGTATGTGCCATAGAATAAATAAGTCATGTCAAAATAATCATTCTTCAAAGAAATCCATGTGGACATGTGAAATAAAGCAAATGCAATGAGATACTGTTCTTTCTTAAGATTTGCACCTAAGGAACAGAAATATGTGCAGACTCCTGTGCCACAGTGTTCTTGGAGAAGTCCTATGAGACAGCAGCACCAGCCATAACCCTAATGTATGTAATGCAAAGAGCACTGAACTTGGACTCAAATGTCTTGAGTTTCAGGGCCCACATTTTCTTCTTTATAACTATTTTCGATATATAATAATTAACAGCTGGGGGGTGGTATGGTGCTAGGCAACAAACCCAGCCTTGCGCGTGCTATTAGCACTCTACTATTGAGCTATATCCCTGAACTCAACAGACTTTTCTTTTTGTTAAGGCAGGGTCTCCCTGTATAGCCCAGGCTGGCCTCAAATTTGAAATCCTCCTGCCTTGGGCTCAAATGTGCTCAGATTACAGGCATATGCCACAACTCCTGGCCCCAACAGATATCTTGTCCTTACCTTGTACCCAGCACCATTCTAAGCGTTTTCTATATATTCATCCATTTACTTCTGTCAGTATCACTTTATGGTCGATGTTTCGTTGTTGTAGCTTCACTTCTGAAAGAAGGAATGTGTACCTAACAATATAAAACATCTTTCCCTGAGTCTGAGTAACTGAGTGACAGCCAAGATTCTGTTCTGATCAGCCTGTCTGACAGCCTGTTCCCCACACCATACTAGCCACGTACTGTTCATGTTGAAAGGATTCTCCAGACTATAGTGTAGGGTAGAAATAAAAATGATTTAAGATGCAGTGTTAGAGCCCTCAGTTGACTGTAGTGATGTCAACTGAAAGTCAAACTTTCTTTCAAAGTATTTGTAATTTTTGTACTGTTCTTGAAATCTTGCTTATCAGATTGTATGTATATATAACTATGACTCTGCCCATTCTGTCCTTTAGGACAAAGTTGACCTGTACAATTTTTTTCCCAGCTCTTCACTGCTGTGAATTTGTGATGAAACAAAATAAATTGTAGTTAATTAAGAAGTAGAGACTAAGCGACTTAGTAATCAATATCTTGACAACCCATTTCACACATCCTCCAAAAACACACAAATACTGGCAATCCAAAAGTTATACCAACAGATGGAGAAAGAGCTGAGTCCTAAATAATTTATATGTGATGTTTTAAGGAGTCATTTTTGGAAGCATTATATGAGGTGATGCAGTATCCCAGAATAACTGATAGCAATTGTAAGGAAGTCCAATCTTTGAAAGTTCTGGCAACAGAATACTGCCTAGACCCTGGTAGTGACCAGTGTGGGGTCAAAGAGAAGCAGCGAGGTCCTGTTTTGTGTATCTTTATTGATATTGTTTTATGTTAGAGTGTGCACTATTTAAATATAGTGCCAAGAATCCCTTATTTCCTAGGGGGCTATATAGTGAAAACATTAAGCATTCAGTGTTTGAGAATCTTTTCTTAGAATCTCATTTATAATTTCTAGTTTTGAAGAAACTAGAAATTATAGTGTTACTGCTATTTATAGCTTTAAAAACTTCTCAAGGGCTAGAGGTGTGGCTCAAGCAGCAGAGGCCTTCCTAGCAAGCAAGAGGCCTGGAGTTCAAACCCCAGTACCTCAAAAGTAAAAAGCTTCTCAAATTAACACAGCATATCTCTTCACCCAGAGTCTTCTCCTTAACAAAACATTACAATTGTATTATTCTGACTATTAGGTGGTACTTGTGTGTCTGTCATTGCTGAAAGTGGAGGCAGAGTAACTTTATAACTCAATGTAATTGAAAAATAATGATTTTTATAAGTAATTCTGATTTAAAATTTTTAATTTCAAACATTGAAAAACATGTAAATTTTATGGGTTATAAAAATAAGCACTAAACTAGGTTTTAGCTTTGCCTAAGTTCTAAGTGCTCCTAATTATAATTAATCAGCTTCAGTTTTATTTGCAAAATAGTTGTTTGTAATGTAGTAAA